AAGTTTATAGTGGAGTAACTATTGGAATTAATAGAATTAATTAATTAATTAAAGTGTTTAATTGATTATTAATTTTATTGGAGCTCGGGATTATAGGTCCATTAGTCCCCGCGTCGTCCTAGTAATTCTGCCAGACACAGAGGGCAAAATGGGAATTTTAGAATTACGGAATTCTAAAATTAAGCACTCAAAAATAATTAATTGAGAATTAATTATTATTTAAATAATGTGATCATTTAAATTTGAATTTGAACACCTCTAGATTTATCAATTTAAACTTATTTGATAAGTTGTTCAATTTAGAATTCAAATTAATTTAAGTTTGACTTAAATTCGAATTTGAATTTGAAATAAAATTGGACTACAAGATAAATGATGATTTTTCTCTTCCTTCCCTATCTGATATTGGCGCCTACACAAGGATGAAATCCCCTTAGGGTTGGCCGGCCATAAGAAGAAGGGATAGAGGAGATTTTGTTCTAAAAAATTCAAATAGGAGATAATTAACAAGCTTTATCTTGAAGATAGAGATTGAATTCCTTCTAGAAGTTTGACTTCTACTCTATAAATAAGAGGATAATAGAAAATTACGTGAGACAATTTTAAAGCCCTAATTGTTAAGGCTTGCCGAAATTCCCCTAATAGAGAGAAGGAAAATTTTTTTTCCAAAAATTCCACATCGTGCATGCGTTGGTATTTGTGGAAATTTGAGTGTTTATTGTAACCTGTTTTGTCTCATGTGTGCCCACACACACATCTTCGTAGATTCTAGGAATTGACGTGGAAGACATTGGTTTTCTAAACACAAAGCTTTGGAGCAAAGATTGTTCGAGGTCAAAGAACTCAAGTTATCATCCGAGTCGGCCTCCAGGTATTTTTCCTAATTGAGTTCTTAATAAATGAATTAATGAGATTAATTTATTCGTGTATAAATTAATATAATCTATAAAGTGTCTCAAAGGTTTTATGAAAATCTTTGTTATACACGATCCGCCTCTTCCCCGCACCACGCTTCCGCATCCGGATTCGATTCGGAGACCAACATGATGATCATTAGACCCTGTGGAAGTTGCCATCAGCAGCTGTGTAATGTCCATGGTGTCTTTTGTTTCTTCGGACTCTTTTGAGATAGAGTATGTTTCAAATAGGCTGTCTCAGGACTCAGATGACTCTGATTCAGAATCAAACGCCGAGGTTGGCTCTGGGAACACTTGTGGTTTGGAAGAGAGAGCCATACAAGCATGAGGGTATTCTGGAGTTTTCTTTTTCTCATCTGACGTAGGCCTAGCCTTTTGTGGGATAGGTTCATCTTCTTCTTCAGAGGAGATACTCATTCCGGTGTTCTTTGGTTTTGAAGAAGTTGGCCTGGTTGGTGCAGTGGGTTTTGAAGCAGATGGCTTTGAAGCAGAGGGTTTTGACCATATTGGATCTTTAAAGATCTCAAGGATGATCTTAAAAGCTCTCGAGTAATCAGGTTGAGAGGGGTATGAGTATGATGCGAACAGAGAATGACCTAATGGTGGAAGTGGATAGGAAGGAGATTCAAACATCCTTCTTTCCTTTCTTTCCATGTCGTCATCGATGTGTTTGAGTTTAGCTTTCAATCTCTGGATCTCTGCTTCTTTTTTGTCAAATTATGGACCGAAGTAACTCTAATTAATCAAACTTCTTAGGTCATAATCTAAGCGTTTGATTTTTCACTGAAGACCTTCATACATCCTTCGTACTTCTGTACCGGGACTGTCAAGCCTCTTATCAGCAAGGCTGGCTTGAGCTATGACTTTGTCAACCTTTGTCTTGATCTTCTATAGGACCTGATTTTGTGCCATGGCATTTTGAGTCTGCCAGTTTAGAACTTTTTCTGCCTGAGTTGGTTGCTTGGTTCTTCCATCTGGTTGGATTTCTGTTGGCTGTACGTATGGTCTGGTAGCCACTTTAGTTGTTTGGTTCACATGTCTTTCAAGAGCTAGGAAGTCTTTATCGTACGATGAGAACATCATGTATGGTACAGGGTTTTTCTTAAGAACCCATGGACTATCCAGATCATCCGGATGGTACTGTTTTCTTGACATTTGAGGCTGGGGTGTACATGCACCCTTCTTCTTTCTCCTTCTGGTACTCAGACGATCGTCCTCTTCTTCATCCTTCCAACAGTCACAATCGGGATTACACATAGAATGGTCAGTATCCCATATGAAGTGACCATCGACTTTGTCTGTGAAGATCTTGGATTCGTCTACTGCAAAGGAAGCAACATGGATGTCTTCTTCTGTTGAGACTGGCTTAATCATGAGAGACGGAGTCGTACTGGAACTTTCATCGGGCAGTTTAAAGACAGTTTTTACCTATCCGTCTTCAAACCGGATGAAGGTGGGATTAGCCGTATGGATGGGCTTATGGTTCTGGTGCAACTTTTCATAGTTGGTGAACCATTCTAGAGGCATGAGCTTTGTGATCTTATCTCGAGAGAGTTGTTTGGGGATCTCATTCTCTCTTTCTGCTGTAATAAGCAGAGTATCTTGAGTGTGACCAGGAATTGGGAGATCAAGTGCATGATTTTGCAATCTATAGATGAGCTGATGATGGAGTGTGGCCATATACGAGGATGAGATTTGTTCTGCACCGGTAATTTGGAGCTAGACTTTGAGACACGTGGATAGGTGTGGATCTTTAATAAAGGAATAAAAAAGGAAAAAAATTATCTACATAAGTTTATTTTAGTACTTAACCCTCACTTTATAGAAAATAAGTGAATGAAGAATATGGCCATCTAACAAAATAATGAAAAAGTGGGTATTTTGTATATGTATAATTTCTGTGATACTTTTTCTATTTTGATCTGTTTGCCTTTTAAATCTCTTTTTTCATCTCTAATTTGCAGACATGCCTATTTTGTTGTCCAACTATTTTTTCTAAAAGTAAATTGGAGTGATTCCTTTACTTATATTGGACGGGGAGAACGAAATATAAGAATTTAAGAAAAAAGAGACAAATATCTTTTAAAATGCATGAGTTATGATTTATACTCTTATTCTTGATTAATAATTTTTTTAGTCAAATAATTAACTAACAAAATGGTATTAATTAAGAATGAAGGATAAAAAATCAGATTCATACACTCTTAAGAGTAAATTTTACAATTTTCTTAAGAAAAATTTTATGGTCTTGTGCTAAGATCTCTTTCTGATCTAGTAGATTGAACTATCCATTACTTCTGATTTTTTGGGTTGCACAATGACATAAGGCAGTTGTTCAATCAAAAAGAACAATGGACAGCAGTTAAATGGCATCCTCTTTGTTATAAGCTTAATGTTGATGCATCTATTTCTGGCCAGAAGATGATAGTGGTATTTGAGCAATTATTAGAGATTCTATGGTTTGTTGTAGTTGCACTTACAAGATTACTTTGTAGAGTGTTTTTTTTTTTTGTATGTGAAGTTGAAGGTAAAGCTCTTCTTGTATGTCTCTTATGGGCTCAAAATGTTGGTCTAAATCTCTATTTGTAGAGTCTAATGCATGGCAATCAAAACAATGACAAATTTTTCTTCATGTTATAATGATTTTGTCAAATGTATTTAGCTTATTATCTTTTTCCCCCCTAATAGTTAAGCTAGGATTTAAGTTATGCATGTGTTTAGAGAAGCTAATAAAATTATCCATTCTTTGACTACTTATACTCTTAATATAGACGATAAGTTAATTTGGTCGTAAAAATCTTCTCCTCTTATAGAATTTGTATTGTATTCGTACTTATAATAACAACTTTCATATTCATGAAAAAAAAACACACATTACATATTTTATGACCATTAATTTTTTTTTTGAAAACTATTCTCTAAAAAAATAAACTGTTTAAAGATATATGATTGAGAAAAGCAATGTATATTTAATATTTTTATTTTTTTTTAATTTTTTCGTCATAAGTTCCTCGTATTTTACCTTTTTTCTAAAAAATATTGTATTTCTTTATAGGGAAATTGTGCTGGGCGGCATTTTTAACCACCTTTTTTTTATAAATGGATGAGCTTTTTTATTTTACGAAAATAGTTGTTTTGTTTATACGAGTCAATTAGTAATTAACTTATGGATCACAGTCAATCAGCGATTGATCAACGGTTAATTAGTGATTAACCGATTCATTTATTAATTTATTAATGGTTTATCATTAATAAAAGTGTAATTTGTTGATTGAAATTGATTAATTACTAATTAATTCTAGTTAATTATTAACTAATGTTTATTAATAATAAAGAATAATTGAGTTAATCAGTGAAACTTAGAGTCAATTAGCGATTGGCTGCTAAATTAATCAGTGATTAACCACTAAATTAAAAAAAATAGATAATTTGTAAAACTGCAATCATTTATGAAAAACACCCTTTAAAAAAGATCATTTGTGCTAAAATTTTATTTTTATACAAGACGAAATTAAACCCGCAACTTATCCCCAAATCCCACCCCATCTCACTCAAAGCTCCCGGTGGCACTAGACCAAGAGGTCTTTTAAGAAAAAAAAAAACCTTTTTTCGATGAGGCAAAATTCATTTTCTTTATTTCTTTTTTTTAGGGGGGAAAAAAAAAAGAAAAGAGAAATGCCGAAACAAAAAATGAAATTCAAAATTCCGGTCTAGGAATACCTAGTCCGTATCCGTGGAAAAGAGTGCACACGCGTCCAAACACCCAGATGAAACAAAGCGACAACGCCCAAGCAAAGGAAAACCCTAATTTCGAGCTCTATATATAGTTCTAACACCCCAATTCAGCATCCCCTTAAAAAAACCCTAGGAGCAACCTGTAATCGTCAAAAACTCTCTACGCCCTTTACGCCCCCAATCTCGTCGGATCTATAATCTTCAAGTACCAATTATTTTTCTATCTTCTTTGCATTCATCAATTTCATATCGATATATCTATATATCTATATACATATATAGACGAATATTTACATTTACTAGTTGTTTTGCTTGAACAGAAATGAAGATCATCGCCGCGTACTTGTTGGCCGTTTTGGGTGGCAACACCAGCCCTTCCGCCGGGGATTTGAAGGACATTCTCTCATCAGGTAATGATTTTGCTTTCTGTATCACGTTCTTGCCGTTTCCATTAGGTTTCGTTTTTTTTTCTTTTTTTTTCTTCGTTTTATTTGATTGATTTCTGGTGGTGATTCGGTCTGTTTTCTTTGGATTTTGTTTATATGAATGTTTATGGCTGAGGATCTTTCATTTTTGTTAGTATTTTCACCTGAGAAACGTAATTGGATATTCTGTTTGGAAGGAAAATTTCTGGTTTGGAGTAGAAATGGATAGTTGCTAGAGAAGGATTGTAAATCTCAGCTATATTTTATGTTTTTTAGAAAGAATTTTCAGATTCTGTACTTAATAAATGAGTCCTTGATTGTTGTATTCATAGAATTTGTGAACTAGATTGAATGATTTTTTTCTGATAAATAAAGTGTGGGGTGATGACGATTAGTGATGAATGTTGTTGTTTTCAGAATTTGTGAAGTTATGTTTTTATCAATTAAATCATTTTGTTTTTTTAAAACAAATTGAATGAGGGGTTTAATGTTTGTGTCGGTTAAATATAGTTGGAGTAGAGCCTGATGAGGGGAGGATTCAGTTGCTCTTGACTGAAGTCAAGGGAAAAGATATCACAGAGTTGATTGCTTCTGGAAGGGAGAAGTTGGCGTCTGTCCCGTCTGGTGGTGGTGCAGTTGCTTACTCTGCACCCGCAGGCGGTGCTGGTGGTGGTGCTGATGCCCCGGCTGCGGCTGCTGAGTCGAAGAAGGAAGAGAAGGTGGAAGAGAAGGAGGAGTCTGATGACGTAAGTTTTTGCCTACAAAATTTGTTTCTGAGGTTATTGGTTTAATTGAGATTGATTCGCTTCTTTTACTGATGGGCATGTTATTTTCTTTGTTGCAGGATATGGGTTTCAGTCTCTTCGACTAAAAACTTAAAGATGTTTGCTTTCTTTCTTTCTTGTCCTGAGGTGTCTATCTCATTTTCGGTTGGATTGTGTAGATGGGTGCTTTGTCATGAGTTTTTGGTCTGTAGTTGAACTTTGTTTTAGATGCTTAGATGAGAGTAATTTGAGACAATTCTGAGATAATTTTAATTACTATTGAATTTCATCTTTCCGGAGTTGTGGTTGCAGTGAATCCTGTAGCTTTTCAATTAATACTACTTAAATTTGAGTTTTTAGTTTGTTCTCAAAATTACTGCGGATTTCATCTCTTAGTTCAAGCCGGTACATGTCGTTTACACTCAATTATCCTTTGAAACAGTGTCCTTAAGGTGCGTTTGGTTGTACTGGTGGAATGGTAATGGTAATAAGAATGGAAATGCGTTTGGTTGTACATATGATTCCATCTTATTTTCTTTGTTGCAGGATATGGGTTTCAGTCTCTTCGACTAGAAACTTAAAGATGTTTGCTTTCTTTCTTTCTTGTCCTGAGGTGTCTATCTCATTTTCGGTTGGATTGTGTAGATGGGTGCTTTGTCATGAGTTTTTGGTCTGTAGTTGAACTTTGTTTTAGATGCTTAGATGAGAGTAATTTGAGACAATTCTGAGATAATTTTAATTACTATTGAATTTCATCTTTCCGGAGTTGTGGTTGCAGTGAATCCTGTAGCTTTTCAATTAATACTACTTAAATTTGAGTTTTTAGTTTGTTCTCAAAATTACTGCGGATTTCATCTCTTAGTTCAAGCCGGTACATGTCGTTTACACTCAATTATCCTTTGAAACAGTGTCCTTAGGGTGCGTTTGGTTGTACTGGTGGAATGGTAATGGTAATAAGAATGGAAATGCGTTTGGTTGTACATATGATTCCATCTTATTTTCTTTGTTGCAGGATATGTGTTTCAGTCTCTCTTCGACTAGAAACTTAAGATGTTTGCTTTCTTTCTTTCTTGTCCTGAGGTGTCTATCTCATTTTCGGTTGGATTGTGTAGATGGGTGCTTTGTCATGAGTTTTTGGTCTGTAGTTGAACTTTGTTTTAGATTTTTAGATGAGAGTAATTCGAGACAATTCTGAGATAATTTTAATTACTATTGAATTTCATCTTTCCGGAGTTGTCGTTGCAGTGAATCCTGTAGCTTTTCAATTAATACACCTAAATTTGAGTTTTTAGTTTGTTCTCAATATTCCTGTGGATTTCATCTCTTAGTTCAGCCGGTACATATGATGCATTTATGTGCGTTTCATGCATTATTGTCCTCGTTTCAGTTATCCCTTGAAACTGTTTTTTTTTTTTTTTTGGGTTCAAAGTGTCCTTTTAAGTATTTAACTTCATTCTATTCCATTTTCATTTGATTGCGTTTGTGATGCGTACTGCGTTATTTGCAGTAGATTTCAATTACAACCATCGTTGCAAGTTTACATCCTTAGTTTTAGTTATAAACAGAGGTTTCTGTTTGGCATGCGTATTTAACAAAAGATGCTATCAACTACAAAATCATACAAACAAGGATTTCGAAAGGATTTCTTAACTTGAAAACATCTTCCTTCTTTGTTATCAACCAAATAAGCATGCAAATTCAAATCATGGAAATAAATGGCATGTTTAGTTCGTTGATTTGAGTTTTTAATTTGAGTTGATATGTGATTTTATTTGAGGTTTTTATTGTAGTAAAAAAATTAAATGTGATTATTTTTTAGAGTTTTTTTACTGTAATAAAATTTAAATCGGTGAAATGAACGGGTCAAAAAATGTATAATCAACATATATAGAAGAGAATTTTAATTAAGAGTACAAGCAACTTACATAGATCCTGTGGATCACTTTTTTTTGTATTTTATTTGAGGGCACCTATTACTTATTTTTTTTGTATTTTATTTGAGGGCACCTATTACTTATTTTATATATCTAAACAGAGATAAAATTATAGTTCTACCTTTTAAAAAACTTGATTTATTAAAAGTATTCCTTTTAAAAAACTCTAGTTCTAATTTGAAAGGTATAAATATATGAGTAAATGATAAGATGCAGAAGTAAAAGTGGGCTCTATTTGAAGAGATGATTTTAAAAATTACTCCTAAATGAACATTAGGGATCTAAGAATCAACATTATCTATAAAATTAAATTTATAGACTAATTGACTGAAAGCAAATATGTAGGAATCAACATTAATACAATACTTATAAGATTCTTTATTGAACTCTTAATGTCACAAAACAATATTAAAATATAGGGATAAAAAAGTTCACGTATCATTAAAAAAAAGGGAGTAAAAGTTACACTGGTGGGAAATTAAGAAGAACAAAATAATTAGCAAAGAATATAGTTGTAAGTTTGAGCTGGCTAAATGGGTCAGCTTGAGGCCTGTCATTGTTAGCCCGAGTTCAGTTCAGTCCAACCAAATTTACGGTTGAATTGAGCTGATCCTCTCTCATTTAAAGTTGGGCCAGCCCGATCCAACCCTAACATCATATTTTTAAATTTTCTTTTTAAAAATGCCTTATAAAATTTCAAACTCGACTTTTTGGATTTATAGTGGATTAGGCCGATCCTCTCAGGCTAACTGCGTCCAACATTTTCCATTTAAAATGTCATTGAGTTTGTATTGTGCATCTATCTTTTTGGTATTCAATTTAAAATTAAAATAGGAAATTGTAAATTGCCAAATGGGCTGACTGGTTCCTGTGGGAGAAAATTGGGGCAAGGATTAGGGTTTTCATTAGAGGTTAAAAATGTTTGGAGAGAAGAATTGGGGATTTTTTTAAAATTATTTTTTTTTAGAATCAATTGATGCAAGTTCAAATTAGACCAGCCTCTTCTTGCGTTGTGAGCATGGACTGAAAAGGGGTGGAAGCAGATATTGAAGGTGGATGCAAACGATTGGTGAAGAAGTTTGGCAACAATTCCGATATTGTGGCACCGGAGATGAAAGGGGCTGAGGGGCTGTGCATTGAGGATGAGAGCTCAACAATAACGAGCCCTGAGAGATTTTTTTTTTTTGTTTTTAAATATTCTAAAATGTTATTTAGAAAATAATTCTAATATTTTTTTTATAATAAACTCATTTGTTTAGGGATTAATCCTTTTTTTTTCCAGCTTAGTTAATTTTTAATATTTTAATATGGTGTAATGTCAGTAAATTCCTTAAATTTGTAGATGGTGTTAGACGAAAATGGTGTTTTAAATTATTTTATATATATAAAAATGTGTTTTAAATTGTTTTAAAAAATTAAGAGAGACTTTTAAATTTTAAACATAGTATTTACTTTAGGAATATTTATAAAAATAATCTCCTTAAATGATGATTCATTGGATAATCTCATAAATCATAATAATACAGAGGTATTTATTTTAAGAGTTCTTCGTAATTTTGAATTATAATTTTTAAATTTTTATAGTGTTTTTTTTTAATAAAAAATTTAAAATTTAAAAATCAGAACCAAACGTTAATAAACCCTTTTGCTTTCGATCGGCCGACCCGCGCAGTCAGATTCAGATAGTGTGTGTGTCTCGATGGATTACAATTTGGCAGCGGTGAAAGTGGTGTGCTCGCAACTGAAGGAGGCGCGGCAGACGGCGTCGCCGAAGCGAATGACGCTTGGCGGCATCCTTTTCCAGCGCGTGTGGCTCCAAGGCGTCCTTGTTTGGGCCTCCGCCGACTCTCAGAAATTCATCCTCGACGACGGCACCGGCCTCCTCCACCTCCACCTCTCCCCCTCTCCTGACTTCCTTCTCCGCCCTTGGAAAATCGGTTCGGTTGCTTGCTTGCTTGCTTTTATTTTATTTACTATTTTACTCCCCATCTCTCTCTCTCTAACTCCATTTCTCTTTCTCTCTCTTGTTTCTGCAGGAATGTATGTGATGGTTGTTGGTGGCTACGTCATCCGTACGGATGAACCCCCTGTCATCAAGGTTGCATTTCTGTTTCTCCCCTCAATAATTAATCCATAACTTAATTTATATATCTTTTTCATTTTTAAATGTTCTGCTGGAGGAAGGCATTGTTTTGGGGTTTAGGTAGTTTTGCTGTGCCTTTTCTCCTTTGCATTTTTCATATTTCTCTATGCATTTAGATTGGAGTGATTTATGTATTATTGTTTTTGTGGCACGCATTATAAATTTTTAATGTATTATTGTTTTTGTGGCGCACATTATAAATTTTTAACACTGATAGATGAAACAATTCAAAAATTAACATAACGATTGAAATAATAGTTTCTATAGACAATTCTCAAAGAATCACTTAATGCTTATTTGGGTCGTAGGTTCAAACTTGGTGGTTTGAAACTTTTTAAATTTAAATTTTTTTAAGAGATAACACTTAGACATGTTTGGTTCATAAGTTTAAACAGAAAAGTTTGAACAAAAATTTGAACAATAAGAAACAAACATGTCTCTACTAAACTAGCCCTTATTGTAATATGAAGATTGAATGCTCAATCATTTTTTTTTAATGGAGAATAATGTTAAGGTCTCGTTCATTTCACCGATTCGAGTTTAGAATTCGAGTTTTGCTACAGTAAAAAGCTCTCAGAAACAGTCACATCTAAAGTATGTGAGCTTCCAAGTTTTGTGCCTGAAAAGCTGAATATTATTTTTAACTTGAAAAATCAGGTTCACAAGATTGTAGATCTTTCAGAGTTTCCAGACCGGGAGGCAATGTGGTATCTGGAAGTTATGGAGGCATACAAACTCTTCTATGAGTCTCTCATTGAGGAATTTATATGATAGTGTGCATACCGTTTAATTGACAAAACCTGAAACTCAATTTTGCCTGTTTGATGTGCACCCCCGAAAAGGTTTTGGCCATTGATTTCTGGCTGAAGGATTGTCATAGTTGCTTTCAGAGCATTTATAATACCTCAAACCCAGTTTTAAAGGGGCTCCAAATGGCTACACAAGGCCTCTAATTGTTACATTGAGAAAATTCCACATGTAGCTTAATTCTATGATTCTATCCTTTTAGATTTTTGTTATCTTCATCAGAATCAGATTCATCAGCAACAGATTCTTGATACATCTAACAGAGAAGCTGTACCAGCCTGGGCAGAGCCATCAAATTGTTGTATCTACGGTGTCTGCGGTGTGGCGTGGCTCAAGTTCGCTGAATTTGGTTCATTTACTCTAGGAGGGGGTAAGGGGCAAGGAGGGTGGTAAGTTGTGGCATGTATAACATCCTGCTTTGGAGCTTTGCCTAGCCAAGTACTAAAGCATTTTTGGTCCCTTTATTCCACCACAACCCTACATAAATGTTGGCAGGTTACTGAAAGTTGCTCTAAGCCAATTCGGATAGTCAACTGATCATAGTCGGATTAGCCGTCTTGGAAACGGGAGTCCTTTTGATTCTTTTTGGTTCCAGTCGCGTATTGTGCTGTTGCAACAGCTGATGTTTTCCTTTTTGTTCGGATCTTATTCTTCTGCTTGCTTTGGTTATGACTTTCTTAAGTAGACAGATTTCGCAGTGGGTCTTTGTATTGACAGTTACAAACTAAATTCAGTTTTTGCAAATGTGTTTGATTTGAAGCAAACTACATTTGGAGGCTATTTGAAGCATTACGACAATGAGAGTAATGAAATCAATGATGAGAAGTGGTTGCTCATACAGTGTGCCTCCAGTAGCAATCCAACAATCTCCCAAAACCCACATTGTTGTATTTGGCGTCCGTCATTCGATGAGGAAGTCCACTGATTTAAGATGATGATTTCTCTTTTATACTATTGCAAAGTGAAGTGTAGGATAGCAATTTGAAGATCCGAGATGTTATTGCTCATTTGAGAAATTTATGGTTCGTTTTGTTCGCTGATTCGAGTTTTTAATTTGAATTGATATGTGACTTTATATGAAAGCTTTTTACTGAAATAAAAAAAGTTAGAAGTGACTGTTTCTGAGAACTTTTTACTGTAGCAAAACTCAAATTTTAAACTCGAGTCAGTGAAATGAACAATGATGAGGATAGTATCATTCTTCACTAGTGCAGGTTCAAATAAAGTGATCCACCTTCGGAAACACTGTCAAACCACGCAATGGTTATACAACTCTTTTTCGGCGAATTTTTTCAACGGGAAAGAATTAATCAATCATGGCGAGATTTTTTTTTTCAAAAAAAAAAACCATGGCTTGAATTTTCTTTGCCTTTGGTGCGGTTTCTAGTGCTCCTTATGGGAGTTTTTCTGGTATTTTCTGTTTTTTTAGTCGTTAAATCTGATCAAAATCACACTAAATTAAAAAAGTATAAATAACAGACATTCTGATATAAATTTAATGGCCAAAAAGCAGAAAACACTGGTATTTTTTTTTTTTAAAAAAAGGGACACCAGAAAGTCATTTTTATTTATTTTTCTTTGATGAATTGAAAAGTTGAGATTAAAGATCCAAGGCAATTCTCTTCTCCCCTGACGTTTCTCTTTCTTTTGTTTCCTTGTGCCGTCTCCCCCCGTCTCTTCCAAACTCGACTCCTTTTATGTCATTTGAAAATAGACTCGACTTCCTTTATGTATTTTGAAAATTAATTCAGAAACTTGATCCATCACTTTCTCTCCCTCAAAAAATAATATAAAAATCTCTCTCTACCGCCTCCAACTGTGGATTCCGCTGCCAACTTCTTAGTGGGATAGAATTTCATACACAAATTTATCCCCATATTTGTTCTCTGTTTTTGTAACTAGTACGATTATAGCTAGCTCATAGTCACGACATACATAGAAGACTCATTTAATTCGCTGATTCGAGTTAAAATATGACTTTATGTGAGAATTTCTTACTGTAATAAAAAAATTAGATATAACTGTTTCAGAAAGTTTTTTACTGTAGCAAAACTCGAATAAGTAAAATAAACGGGACCATATTTAGCATCTCCTTGTAGATTTGCACGTCATTGTATCATAATGATTTTTATAAATTCCATGTAATTAATACAAGATAATTGAACACATGTTATCCAACAAATCTTAAATTTATAGCTATAACAGAAATAATACTAATAAAAAACTTACTTTTCAAACTACGAAGCAAACAGCGTTTTACGTTTTCTATTGGAGTCGCAACGTTAAGGCCTAAACAAAAGAGTTCGGCACGTAAAATGTCAATGTAGAGCCAGTCTCTTGCCTATGGGTCCTCCATGCAAGTTGGAAACTCAACAAAATCACTCTCAACCAATTTCTCCTCGTTCAAATCTCAAAAATTAAAAATATCAGATCACAAAACGCATTTGTTATTTTTAATTTCTTCTTTTATGAAATTCCATCATAGCGGAAATAGACACACACATGTAGTGTTTAGCTTCTACCTTTCAAGGATTCAATAAACTTGCTCACTGGATAATTGCCGGTACTCGCACAGACGACGAAGCTCGAGAATTGCCAGGATTACAAGTAAGCAACGTATAGATCAAACCACACAAAAGGTCTTATCAATAATAAGTTCCAGAAACGAAAGACAATTAAAATAAAAGAAAAAGGTGGAGATTCAACTTGGTTGTAAGGATTCTGCTATTAAGCAATTATTAAAGCAGAAGAACAACACCGGTCCTCAATCCGAAGTGATTCAATTTTTTTCCTAAAATTTAAAAAAGCAGCTAACCAAGTTGTCATTCTCCTTTATCAACAGAAAGTGTCCACCTCATTCCTTCTTCCCAATACCATGCGACAGGTTGTAAATACCCCGTCCCTGAAAAAGTACACGCGAAAGCATTACAATTTGTAATGTATTGCTCGGAAATCAACGGATTAAGTTCATGTGATAGAGACCTAGAATTTTTGACAAAAAAAGTGGGAATTCATGGATAGAAACTCACAATAAGATACAAGGAGGAAGCCGCCAAAGCAATGGGAATGGCAACAGATGTGATCTTATCAATTGGTCCTTTCAGATATGTGTGTTTGTGGATGCTTTGGAAATGCTTTTGCTTCTCAAGGAGCTTCTCACGTGGTCTAAAAGGTGGTTCTGCAGCGTCCGGCATCTATACAGGAAAAAAAGGGGGTCATTTCCAGAATGCACATCTCAAAACTACCCATTTCCTTCTTTCCCCACTTTTTTGTTCAATAAACACCATAAATTCTAAAAGGAAAGAAATGAAGAATCCTTAAAATTGAAAAATAATAGAAGAATAAGTTAATGATGAAAATTACAAATATATAGAGATATAACTTCGTATGTGCTCACATCTACTCATCCAATTCCCTTCGGGGCTTCTTTTCTACACCAATTCAAACAAGGTTCCCTCTTCACCCCTAAAAGATGCCCTAAAAAAAGAAAATGCACACTATCTTGTTCGCATAAACTGCGAAGAACTCTTTTCTTGACCTTTTTATCCCATTTTCCTTCTAATGATAAGTACAGTGTGGGACTTTTCTTTCAGCATACTTTTTTCCTTCTTCCTTTGATTAGTATGACGTGGCTCAAAATCTTAAACTCAAAACTAAAAGATTAAAAACAAAACGTATACTAATAGATAAATTTACAATTCGAATTCCTAATATATTGTTCTTCATCACTCACATATGTCTCATGTTTGTCTCACCCAATTTGTTTATAACCCGTATGCACACTATTAGCAATTCTAGGACCAAACGAAAGATTAACACAGCAAGAAAACATTTAAGAAAGGATAATCTATGTAGACCGTGAAACCAACAAATCATTTAAACCTATAATTGCAATTCAACAATGAGATTATATTATCTCCAGTACACAATCCAAAATTCAAGATCCATCAAGAGTATGATTTATCATTTACTCTCCATTGTGATGCAGGCAAAATGCATATTAACCAATTATTTATCAAATAAACCAATGACAATTTGAAAAAACAACCTTTTTGGTTTTAAAAATGTATGTTTTGAAAACATTTCAATTTATAAACCAATGAAAAATTGATACATAGGCATTAGACCCTACACTACACATACAAAAACCGATACGGCATATACATCCATATCCTTTTACCACGTTAGATGATTATATAATGCAATTATCCAATAATAAAATTAAATGAGTGAAATAAAAAACAAAAAAAGAAAAGAAAAATAAAAAATATAATGATTGCAGAAATGTAGTTGGATTAAACGAATCTATAGAAATGTATACCAAAATTGACAAAAAAGATTTCGAATTTCGGCTCAGGACCAGTCAAAAACCTCTGGAACAAATTAATCCCCAAAAAAAAAATCAAACAAAAACAATAAAAATCCACAGATTTATGAAGTCCGCGACAAACAAATCATATGAAATCAACCACGGAAACACGATGTTTTACCTCCAATGGGAAAGAAAAAAGAGGAATCACATATGGATAAGAATAGAAAATTAGAAATGGATAAGAATCAAGAGAGCGATAAATTCGTTCAACAGGACAAAACATAAATATCAAGAGGAGAAATACTCGTCTCTCTTTCCGTCACTTTCTGCATTCGCTTTTTAACACGTAGACTCTACTATCTCATTTTCTATTTAAATAATAATATATCATGTCAATAGAGTTCATGTGTCAAACAATGAATGCAGAAAGTGACAAAAAGAGTGACAGAAAGGGTGACGCTAGTATTTCTCATATCAAGAGAATCCCAATTCAAATAACAAAGAATCCTAAATAATACGATAATCTCATATGTCTAGTTACTAATATTATGTTCTGAATCACAAATGTTTCACGTGCTCTCAAGAGTCAGCCTCAACGAAACCTCAAATGCCAGAGTTTCTACCAAACGTAACTAGCTTAAAGCCGAAAAATTTATGATTCAACAAAAATTCTGAGAGAAAAAGAGTTATAACAAAAATTTATTCATTGGATAGATTTAAAACCAGCATACAGAATTTCATTCCTTTGGCTCCAAAATCAGATTTAGAGTGTTTTCCCATCGGAATTTCTCCTTCCAGAAAACTTTGGTATAAATCAATCTAAGGTCCAAACAGCAAGTTTTGCGTGTATATTACCTATGTTGAACTCGAAAGAAATCTACCGTCGGATCGAATCAAATTTACATAGTCGTTCAACATTTCTAAAATCACGCGGATAAAAACAATCTGATTGATCCAAAGACCAAAACCCTAATTGATAATAAAAGCATGCAATAATCAGTAGCAAATAGAAGAGGAGATTCAAGAGTCTTACCTTGGCTAGGGTTTAGGAGTTTTGCTTCTGTAGAACAGAGAGAAATCCGAGGAAGAAGACCCAAAGAATGATTAATATTAGCCCTAAGAAGAAGATTGATTATTTTTTCAAAAAAATAAAAAAGACGAAGAAGAATGATTATAAAGGAGCGGCCGGGATGAATGGGTGGTCATCATCCGACGGTCTCCGTTTAATCTCACATTCATAGGGTTTCTTGTTATGCTCATGCTCTATGATACTTAAATATGTTCCCTCCTTCTCTGCCGTTCGATCCATCTAATGTTTCTTATCGGACTTTAGGTTTTGCGTTTTTTTTTTTTTTCCTTTTATTTTGAGTGGCTGCTGATTACATGTCGTTTTGTAAATGTCTCTCATCTATGACCAGTTAAACGGCATGAAGTTGATTTTAGATGTTAACTACTTGTTTATCGCGCGCGTTGCGTTCATTTAAAACAACAGTGGTCAAATTATTTTTAAAAAAAAACGAAGAATAAGAAAATAAGGATGTAAAAGAAATAAAGACGTGAGAAAAAGATTTAAAGTAAAAGATAAAGAAAGAAAATTTTAAATTATTTTGTTGTGTTTAAATCAATCTTATTTGATTTTGTTTAATTTTTTTTTTTACTTTATTTTGTGTGCTATTATTTTATTTTAGTATATTTTTATTAAATTTTATTTTTTATTGAATCATTTATAACATTTTTATTTAAACAGTATTAAAAATTTAGGACGAAATCGTGTTAGAATGAACAAAATTAGACTACAAATAAGCCCAAAATTAATAAGTAAATATAAAAATTATAACAATTAGTGAATAAAATCAATTTTTTTTACTGTCAGATAAAAAATATAGACAGATGGCCCCGTTCACTTCGCTGATTCGAGTTTAGAATTCGAGTTTTGCTACAGTAAAAAGCTCTCAGAAACAGTCACATCTAACTTTTTTGCTACAGTAAAAAGTTCTCATACAAAATCACATCTCAACTCGAATTAACGAAGTGAACGGGCCCTAGATAATCCATTTTCCCTCTCTTCCTTTCTCTCTCTCTCTTCTCAAGCGGGTGCCACCATTCCCTCTCTTTCTTTCTCTCTTTCTCAAGTAGCTCTCTCTCTTTTCCCATGTGGGCCCACCACTCCCCACTTCTTCTCTCTCTGTGGCTTAGTTTGCTATTATTTTTCTCCCCTAAAATCAGCTTCTCATTGTAGCAGAAGTTGATTTAGTGTTTGATAAATCTCTTTAAAAGTATTTTTTGAAGAAATTTTTAAGAATTTATAGTCAAAATCATAAGCAACCTAAAAATAATTTTAATTTTTAGATTGTGCAGGAGTTAACTGTTGAGAATTGTGTCTTAGAAGCATGAAATGTAATAGGATATTTATTATTTATTTAATAAAAGAGTTTATTCATCATTTTATGTGCATATATTTATGAATATTAAATGAAAATTCTGTGATTATTTATGTAACCTTAAACATAATAAATTTGGTGCCTACTAATATGATATATTATTTAAACAAAAAATGAAATAATAAAATTTACCAAATAATGAATACAGAGAGTGAAAAAAAGTGACAGAATGAACGTCACTAACATTTCTCACGTTGAAAAACATAAAGGCCCCGTTCATTTCGCCGATTCGAGTTTAGAATTCGAGTTTTGCTACAGTAAAAAGCTCTCAGAAACAGTCACATCTAATTTTTTTACTATAGTAAAAAGCTCTCACATAAAATCACATCTCAACTCGAATTACAAACTCGAATCAACGAAGTGAACAGACTCGCGAAGCCTGATCAAACTAGAAAACCGAATACATATGAATATTACCAGGGGCTTAGCAGAGAAAAAGATACCATAAATTTCCAAAACCAGTCTTACGCAAACACTCTTCGCTTGTCATTCTATAGGCAAACTTAAAAGACAACAACATAAACTAGACTCAAAAACAACTGAAACAAACCACAGAAAAGCAGTCTTAAACAAACATATCCATAGCCAAGATTAAAAAAAAATAATAATAATAATAAAAACTCAGAACTTTAACTAGAGGACTTCTTCTGCTGCTGCTGGTCCTACTTGAATGAGCAAAAAATCCATCTCTATTTATCGCCCACCACGACGTATCCTAGCCTCATTAGCAGCACATGCCCTCTCAATCTGTGATAACGAAGTCCCCACAAGGAAAGTTGAAGTTTTATAGCATATCAGATAAATGTACTGAAGAAAAAAAATAATTAAAAAAGGGTTCCATTTCATACAAGATTGAAGAATCAAAATCTTAGGCTGTGTTTGGAATTGATCCCGTTTTTATTTTTCATGTTTTTCGAGAAAAAAAAATGAAAACGTTTCTAAAACGGTGTTTTGCGCAATAAAGACAAAAAAAAAATGAAAACGATTTTTTAGTTTAGTGTAAAATGAGAGAAAAATAAAAAACGACTTTTCATTTTTTATTTTCATTTTCTACTCTCTCGAGCAGAGAGATAGAAAGAGAGACATTAATAGTTTTTTTACACTGAAAACAATCTAAACGTTTTCATTTTTATTTTCATACAAAAAAACAAAATCATTTTGAAACGAATTCAAACGCGCTCTTAAAATTTCCATAGAGATTAAAGAATATATTATTTTCTTTTGCCTATTTTTCTCATCCATGTAAATGTGATAATGACAATTAATTGCTCTAAAAAGAGAACTTATTAGCGGACCGTTTTTTTATTTAAATTTAAAAAAAAATAATAATGTAGCAGAATTAGAATTATTATTTCAAAATACGTCTACTAAACGGGCTCGTACTGTTTTATTCTTACGTTGTATTGATGTTATTGCTGTAATCTTGCTTTTACTTTGTAAATTTTCTCTGGAAAATTGATTAGATTGTTAAAGAAAGGGAACATTCTTTCATATAAATTTACCGATATATTTTTTCCTGAGAATATACATGTATATATATATATATATATGCTTTTGATAAGATAAGAACTTCATATATATATACGTGTATATATATATATAGGTATGCAAAATCCGGGAAAGTAGAAAAATAAGAAAGCACATCTACGAGTCTACAATCATAATATGGAATTCAAATAAGTATTACCGCAGAAATGCGACACAGATTCTGATACAATGTACAATATTTTTCTTTGACCCTCCCAACGGATTCCAAGCACCTATAAGAGTGTAGCAATATTTTTAGAAGAGTTTGTATTTTTAGATGGATTAAAAATTTACGGCGCGCAATATAAAATTGCTCTCACTGCAGATCAAGCCATTAAAAAAATTAATTCAATCATAAAAACACAATTCTTATTAATAGGGTAAAATAGTTTTATCGACACAATTCTTATTTTTCTTTATTTGCTACAGTTTTTTTTTCCACATGAATTCACTTTTTAATTCAAATTTTTAACGCGAACAAGCGAAACAAATAGGGTCTTAAGATTCACAATGTTTCTAGATATATGTATATCTAAGTAATGTTAACTTTAATATTTCACTAGCAATTAACTCGAGCATACAACTAGCTACATAACTATAAATATCAGTTGGATCAAGAAATGCAAATCTGAACATGTGTGATCGACCATTCTGCTAGAAAATTGGTTAGAAGAGAGAAATTGAATTATTACCTGTCTTTGTTGTTATCATCACAAACTCGCTCAAGCTCCTGACAAGCGCGAACCACACTGCAACCACCTATTCTGCATCTCCGAAAAAAGAAATTAAGATTTGAGGCAAAATTACATTCAATATACGAATCATGTTCAAGATTTGGTATTAATAGCCCGTTTGGTTGGAGGATTCGTTCTCTGATTCGAATAATAGTTCATAGTTCGTTACAGTATTTTATCTCACAAAAAACACTCGTAAATTAAAAATAGTTCTAATTTCATGATTTTAATTTATGAACCAAACGGACTCTGTGTTAAAAGGAAAAGATCTTGGATTGGTATATTTTACTTTAAGGTACACACTCATGAATGTAAATGACGAAGATTCTCTCTTTTGTTAGAACGCGAGTGCACGATCTTGAGGATTCGTTCTCTGATTCGAATAATAGTTCATAGTTCGTTACAGTATTTTATCTCACAAAAAACACTCGTAAATTAAAAATAGTTCTAATTTCATGATTTTAATTTATAAACCAAACGGACTCTGTGTTAAAAGGAAAAGATCTTGGATTGGTATATTTTACTTTAAGGTACACACTCATGAATGTAAAGGACGAAGATTCTCTCTTTTGTTAGAACGCGAGTGCACGATCTCGTCCCTAGAATTCCGTAGGTCCCACTGAGGGACCAAGTGAATGAATGGCTCAGATTGCACTTCGCATTTTCTTGTTTGCTATGTATTTATTAAGCCAAAAAAAAGGGAAGTCAACTAAGATGAAACAGTACCCAAACTCGTTCTTAGGCGGATATGTCTTATTCTAAATCTGTATTAGGGTGAGTATTTCATGAAAACTACTACATGCCATGCGCGTGTATGCGCGTCGACATGGTTGACTTGAATTTTAGGTATGATCGTAATCTGAATTCATCCTAGGGCGAATGTCTTATAAAAATTACAGCACACCGCGCGCATGTATGCGCGTCACGTATTAATTTTAGATTTAGTAATTGAGAACTTTTTAAATGTTCTGAATTTCAATACTACTGAGTTATGATCACCGATCAATTTAGAAACATTTCAATAATGAATGATTGCGATAGATTTTTTTTTTTTTTTTTTTTTTTACGTTTATTGTGTACCATGCATGTTTATTCCCGAAAGGGCAAACTTTTAGCTACGGATTCAATTCTTTCTACATGACCATCCACATGCCATGCACGTTCAAGCCACAAAAAGGGTAAAGCTTTTAGCTAACAAGAACAATTCCAAATGTTCCGGACAATGCAATGAGTGCCACAAAAAATGTAATTCTACATCACAAATTATTACTTAAAATCATAGCACATCATCATAAAATCATGCACATACAGCAAGAGATTAGACACGGATTTATATATAGATGTCAAAATCCAAATATATTTCATAGCAAATTTCATGTGAAACAGAAAAGGGTAAATGATATCAAATTCTGCAGTATTATTTCTATTACCCAGTGCTACATCCCTTGAGCCGGTGAGCAGCATCCTTCACTTGAGCAAAGTTGATAACGGGCTCAGAACTAAAAATGGGTCAAGATGCACAGAAATTAGTAAGCATACAACAACAACAATAACAACAAGTCTTAATTCCAATTAATTGGAGTCGGCTATATGGATTTCACTTTTTCACATAATTCTAATACAACAACAACAATAACAACAAGTCTTAATTCCAATTAATTGGAGTCGACTATATGGATTTCGCTTTTTCACATAATTCTGTTCGAAATTAACTACGAATAACTTTATTCTTTATGCGATCTATTCTCGTATGGTCACTCATTCGTCTTATAATATTGGTAAGCATAATAGCAATATACAATATTGGTACAGAAAAATTGCAACCAAATGAAACAAATGACAAATATAGATGTTGGAAAAACTACACGAGTCCGGTGAGCCTTTCAATGCTTTCTTCAGCATTATGGAAGTATGTGCTGATAGTTTGTGAAATATACAACGGATTACCGCCTTGATCGCGGATCATTTCCAAAACATTAAAGTTGCGGTCCAATATACCCTGCCACAAAAAAGGTGATTTGTTATTACTCGAACAGAACTGTTTTGTTTACTTATGGATATAAAGAACAGAGTTTTATGTCCCGTTCGAGTTTAAAATTTGAATTTTGTTACAATAAAAAGCTCTCTACAGTAAAAAAATTCTCACATAAAATTACATTTTAATTCGAATTAAAAACTCAAATCAACGAATTAAACGGACCCTTAAGTTTTATCAGACTATATGTTAAAATAACAAGAAAGCAAGAATGTTCAAGTGTCATATTAAAAATACAAGAAATGCCAGAGCTTCACAAGTGTTGTCAACTGAAAAAAGAGGTAAAAGAATTACGGGTCTGTTTGGTGACAAAAAAAAAAAATAAAGTTCTGTTCGTTTTATCTCTTTCTTGTGCTTTAAACAAACAGATGATGAACTGAAAAAACAACGACTAAGGTGTCGAATATAATCAGAACTGTCTGGCATTGCATGCAAATCATGAACAGAAGTTCAATCTTTTCTGTCATGCCATGGAACCGCCGATAAAGTTGATGGATTTCAAAAAGATTTCTTTCAAAACAAGATTTGTTATTCAAATCAACAAACAGATGATGAAATGAACCAAACAAAAGGAAGGAAAAAAAAAAAAAAAAAAAGCTCTTTAATCATTGTTGGTATTTAACATTTACATGAAGAGTCATTAAAAGATGTTCCTTCTTTGCTAGCAAAGCAAAATAAAAATTCAATCCATTATCCATGGAAATAATAATTAAAAAAAAAAAGTTATAGAAAACCCATATAAGAGCTATACACATACACAGATAGCTAGATACATACACCTATTTTATATATATGAACAACGAGATAAGCTACACCCTCAAAAACATACATGTACTGTACGTGTGTGGCCCCGTTTATTTCATTGATCTGAGTTTAGAATTTGAGTTTTGCTACAGTAAAAAGTTTTCAGAAACAGTCACATCTAGAGATAAGCTACACCCTCAAAAACATACATGTACTGTACGTGTGTGGCCCGTTTATTTCATTGATCTGAGTTTAGAATTTGAGTTTTGCTACAGTAAAAAGTTCTCAGAAACAGTCACATCTAACTTTTTTGTTACAGTAAAATTTTTTTACATAAAATCACATCTCAATTCAAATTAAAAACTCAAATCAGTGAACTAAATAGGCCCGTAATATATATAAACAACGAGATAAGTGACACCCTCAAAAACATACATGTACTGTACGTATGTTTCAGGTCACCCACCAATGTTCAGTGTACCAAAATAAACATTAGGTTTATAGGAATATTGGTTATGTCAAATAGTAAACATATTATATGTATAAAATGAAAATACAACGATTTAGAAAAAAAGAGTATACCAAAAAAAAAAGGGAAAAGAAAAGGAAAAAAAAAAGGATTAAGTGACCTGCTCATTAAGGTTGCGAATGAAGATGTTGAGATGTTGAGCCAGACTCACGCCTACCATTTTCTTTTTCTTAGGAAAGAAAAAAAAAACAACAAAAGCAAAAAGAAAAAGAAAAGTGAAATGGGAATTCAAAGAGAAAGAGAGAGAAACGATTGAAATAGTAGCAATGGAGTGAAATAGCTAGCCATGGTGAAGCTTATTTATAGCAGCACTTTGTGAAGGTCATTGGGTTTGCATATACTGATATACACGAGGGCCACGCTCCATAGACCTTCAAAAAAAAAAGGGAAAAAAAATCGTGTTTAGAATTAATTCTGTTTTTATTTTTTACGTTTTTTGATAAAGAAAATAAAAACGTTTTTAAAATGACGTTTGGCGCAATAAAGATAAAAAATAAAAATAAAAATGATTTTTTAATTTAGTGTAAAATAAGAGAGAAATGAAAAACGATTAGAGTCGTTTTTCGTTTTCTCTTCTCTCGAGTAGAGAGAGAAAAAGAGACATTAATGAGTTTTTTTACACTGAAAATAATCTCTTAATAAAACTACTAAACACATTTTTAAAAATAATTTTTATCTGAGATTAAAAATATTTTTATTTTTATTTTTATTTTCATATAAAATATAAAATTATTTTAAAATAAATTTTAAACGCGTCTAAAGTGTCATCATTACAAAAATGCTATAAAAACTGGCATTTTGGTCTTGTTATGGCAGCCAGTTTGGGCTTTACGTGGAAAAGCCATGACTCCCTCAGCGGTTACAAATGCTCTAAAACACCAGAAGAATACTCCTCTCTCTCTCACAAGCGCTCCTCTAAGCGCGTGCTCGACACTCTCCTCTTTCAAAGTCGAGTGGGGCCCCTCTCCTTCTCCTGAGATTTTCCCCTCTTTTTTTCAACTTAAAAAGAAAATTAAAAAAAAAAAAATATGCTCCTCTTCCTGAGTTCTAACACCACTTCTTTTCCGGTAAGGTATTACAAACACATATTTAGAACTTGTCCCATTTTGGTCGTACCATTATAAGCATTTCGGTTATAAATATTATACACCTTGAACAATTTTGTTTTTTAGTGCACTCTTTTTTTGTAAAGAGAAAAACATACACTGGGACTATTATTACTTTCTCATTTTTATTGTTAAACTTTAATATGTGTCGTTTTATCCCTTTAATTAATGTTGTGTTCCTTTCAAAAAAAAAAAAAAAAAAATCCACCTTGAGTGGAAAAAAAAAAAAAAAAAGTTGTGTAGATAGATACTTGAACAACTCCCCCTCTTTTTTTTTTTTCCTCCAAATGTCGCCGCTTTTTAATTGTTTAAAAAATGAATCATTTTCACCTTTTCACCGGAGAACATGTTCGTTGCCTATTCACCCTCAACCCTGGTGAGATCTCCCTCGATACGGTTTACTCCATTAAAAAAAAAAAAGCAGACTGACTAGGATTGAACACTAATATTGTGTTTAGTATGAGAATTCATGTCATAATTCGTGATTCGTTACAGTACTTTCTCTCATAAAAACACACGTAAACTGAGAATAGTTATGAATTCATATACCAAACGTTAATGATTTGTGAATCCTAAACTCCTATTATATATTGTTATTGTAAAAAATGATAATAACAAACTTTCCTGAATCATGTTAAAAACCAGCATCCCATACAAATCATATTAAGAACACCTCTCCTCTGAAATTTTTAACAATGATTCTCTAGACGACAAATCTCAGCAGGACCTTCAACATGGTAATGAAATGAATTGTGTGCTCAAAACAGAAAAGGCTAGAATGGTCGTAACACCATTATTTTTCATTATTTTTATTGGAAAGTGGGATGGCAAGCGATGAGGAGAATAAAAAGAGTGATAAAGCAAGTGACCCTAACATTTTTCGTTCCTAAAGATGCGGCAGGATAAGCATTACAAAAACTATAATGGAAATAAACCGGTCCACAACCAGCAAGATAATTCTGCCAGGGATCATTTCATCCAATACCATAATTGCTTATTAATAAAGAGCATTATTTTGTTAAAAAATTATTTTTCTTTGATTCATTTTCCTACTCTTGATACGTACTAGAATAACGCCATTTTAACTATACTTTCTTCCTCGGGTCCTTAAGCAATGGTGTTTGATCTGGGCCTTGATAGTTTCCTTGCACTTTTCGGTTTTGGTATTTCTTTCTATCAAAACTATTGGGCAATTAGTGATGACTTAAATTTGGTTGTTACAGTGTTTTCTTTTTTTTTTTTTTTTTTTTTTTTCAGTTTGCCTAACTATACCAATTTTTAAGTTCTTATTCTTAAATCTAATGAGGCTGCTGGTGGATCAATAGTCCAATTGTTCTTGAAAAATGTTATCTGCAAAATTATTGACATTCTATTTCCCAATCAATTTGGTTGATCTCCGAACATCCATGGTTTGTATTGCATTAGCTTGTGTAAATTGTTTGACTAGCTAACATATTCCCGGAGAGCACACAAAATCACCACCTTTTAAAGCACAAGTTCAAGGCCAGGTCTCGTTATGAAGCATAAGCTGTGTTAAAAATAAGAGTTTCTCTGGCAAGATTAGAAAAATGAACTACCGCTAAATTTCTACTTTCAACCGTTAGATCTTGTATCAAAAACTGTCATTTCTACATACTTTTTTCATTCTGATGTGTGATTTAGACCACATCTAACGCTTAGAAATCAAACCCTACCGGTAAGGGTCTACCAGAGAAACTCCTCAAAAATAAAAATGAATTCAACATTTTCCACAGTTCTTTTCATGATACGACAGAGAGAGAAAAGTCTGTTTTCTAGGAGAAATGGCCAAACATTGGAAATGTTGAAACCATCCACCCAGAAGCAAGGTTTATACATATAGCATACACCCATTTCTTTTTTTTTTTGCTGAAACAAAATTCAATCATGCTTGATACTAAACCAGGCTCATAAGTTCAAACCGCATGAACCCACGAAACGATGGCCCCTAAAGCTTGAATTATGATGATAGAGACCTAAAGGTTGAATTTGAGATTTTTTCTCCTTAGATTAGAAGAATTCCAACATCCATGGAACCCAAACGCAAATCACAGTGGTAATCGCGGAAATGGGTGTAAGTTCAGGGCAACCAAAAAAAAAAAAGAGGAGTAAAATTCGGCTTTAAGGGCTGGTCATTTTTGCTGCTTTTTCTATCTCTCATATCTAGATTTCAGCCCAGATCTCCATCCTCAAGCTTTCCTTTCCTTGCTGTTTGCCCCCATTACATAATATTCCTCATTAATGACAAAATAAGCAAACAAGCACAGTTTTAACTGACGAGAGACTCGATAGGCAAATGGATGAAATACCTGAACACAATCTTTGTCAAGAATGAGAAATCAGCATAAACCATAATTAGACAGACTATCACTGTAGGAATGAGATTCAAGACTTTGGGACAGTCACGTTCAGGATTTTGACATCTTGGTAGGGTTTGTCTGTCTTGTCTGTCTTGACTTTCTCGATAGCCTGCCAATAATGCACGAGTTTTTTTAGAAGTTAAAATCCAAATAGATTAATAGAAAGATACAGAGATATCTACGTTGACAAAAATCCGCTTTGCTTAGAGACATTGAAGGTGACCGACTTCGTAAGTTTGAATGCATTCTTTAGCCAAAGAAAAATATAATGAGAAAAATAAAGCTCTTTTAGCAGAAACAAATCCAATACGTCTCAAATAGTTCGACTCTTTCTCCATACAAACCATAAATATGCAAAGTGCAACCTCAACTATACCTGTACAACATCCATTCCCTTTATAACTCTGCCAAAAACTGTGTGCTTGTTATCCAGCCAAGGAGTAGCCACTGTGGTGATAAAGAACTGGGATCCATTTGTATTTGGGCCCGCATTAGCCATTGAAACAGTGAAAGGTCGGTCATGTCGCAAACTACAGAGACAGAATTGACACAGGGTAATGGAATTAACACTTTGCAAGGGGTCAAAAAAATTGTGCACAAAACAAAGACGGCAGCCAAAAAAAAAAACAAAAGATGTCAGAGCCAGAGCAGGACAATCAATTTTAAGAGTAATACTCCATGCTTTCAAGATTACACTTGATCTTGATCCAATAAATTAAATTAAAATAACAGGAAAAGAACAGGAGATGGCAAGTGCATAAATTCCAACAACATCGAGGAATTCATACTAAAAAGGGGGAAAAGAGGTCTCGAGGAGAGCTTCTCTCTGAACCGAAGTAAACTGGAAAGGAAGATACTACTTTGATGCATTACCACAGAAAGATAAATTAAAAAATAGAAAGAACCGTCACCTCTTGTGAAATTCATCCTCAAACTCCCTGCCCCAAATAGATTGACCGCCAGTACCATCCCCTAAAGGATCTCCTGTTTGTATCATGAAGCCTTTGATAACCCGGTGGAAAATGAGATTGTCATAATAGCCATTCCGGCAGTGGGTTGTGAAATTCTCCACAGTTTTTGGACACTCCTCTGGGTATAATTTCATGTGTATGTCACCCATTGTGGTATGCAAAATCTGGATAAACACGAGAAAAACTTTTAGTTAAGTAAAAAGAGGATTAACGGCCAAAAGATATGTTATCACCATCCGGAAGGAAATATGCAGCATGGGGGAAAAGGGCACCTGAAGCTTAATTAAATCAATAATTCAAAAAGAAAAGATCAAGATAGAATCCAATAAAATAAAATAAAATAAATAAAAAAAGACATGGATTTATTTGATCGAAATCCAAGAAGTGTATTTTTCCTTCCTACAATTTGGTTTTCAGGCAACTAGCTAAGAGTTTTTTGTTCAAAAAATAAATAAATAAACAACATTATTGGTCTTCACATAATAAATTTCATTACTTGGTCGTCTCTTACGATTCAGGAACATTTCACTTTGAAAGTAGCACTAAAAAAATTCATCAAGTTCTTTTTATGAAAATGGAAAGAATTTTCACAAGATATAGGAGTTCTACAACGTTGAACTTCAGAATCCTTCGTGCCCCAAGGTCTTTTATGTTCCTTTTCCTTTTCTTTTTTGATAATTGTCGAGATCTTTTCAAGGAAGGCTAAAAAAACCAATTCTCTAACTGTTTTGTTTTCTGCTCTCTTTTTTCTCCCCACCTTTCCTTTCTCCTATTACTTTTCTCTTTAACAAGACATTTGATGTTTCATTTGCAGCAAACTTTCCAATATTAGGTTTTCCTCAAATCTATGCGTTGAGTAACTGCATTTTAAATTGCATGCATATGAAGATTGAAGAACAGAAAACTTACCACATTGTCAGGCAGAGATGTTGTGACGGACTTTCCAATATCTGATACAGCCAAGAGTTCATCAGGAGGTGGCTTTTCATTAAATACATCTCTTCCTTTAGTTGCATCTTCAGGTTCCTCTGGTTCTCTCCGACTTTAAAAAATAACAATAATAGTAATAAAATCAGAAAGCTGATCAAATGAGAAAATATGTAACTCCAAGATTCACTACATGTAAACTCAGATGTAAAGGACAGTCAATGGTCTGATTAAACCTATAAATTGAAAAAGTAAATTACAACTCCACCGCATCATCAATCACATAAGATTCTAGAACCATCTAAATGCACCAATTATACATGCCCTAAGAAAAGTGCTGGCTTAAAAAGAATATATTAGTCAAATGGCCCAAAGTATTCCAGTACCTGAATAGATAGATTCTGTGCTTCTTGAAAGCACAACATAAAAGAGTAGGATCTGTAAGAGGCTCTTTGCTTTCATTGGCATTTGCTGCAGCCGTAGGCAGTTTTCTAACTTTTTTACTGCTCCTGTCACCTTGATACAAGGCTATTCTCAAGAACCTATCATTGTTCTCCACCTTTCCAAGTATGCGGGCCACTTTATTGGTGTATAGGTTAACCACCTACAATTACAGAGCAAAAGAAACATATCAGTGCCTTTTTCCCTCTAGTAGTGGGGTGCCAAGCAAAAACGAAAGGGGAAGAAGGTAAGTTTGTTCTTTCTCAGCATATAAAAAAATCCAAACAATCAAATAGACTGTTCATTTGCTGTAAATTCATAATTTTTTTCTCCAAACAGGTGGGGGGAGAGCTGGGATGATTGCCATTGGAATCCAAATTTCATGATAACATCATCTTACTTTTATCCCAAGTAGGGTTGCGTATATGAGGAAATTGGAGCTTTCATCAAAAACAGCATTTGGCTGTGGTGCTGTTTCTGTTTTCTCAATTTCCTTCTCAATAGCCATTCTTCGCCCAAAATCAATAGCTTCCAGCCGGTACATAGGGACATCACTTCTTTGGAGATCTTGGGCCACCTAATTAGCGCCAAGAAAATTGAAATCAGAAACATTTAAAAGGGAAGGGGAGAGGGGAAGGAAGCAAACAAACACCCTAATGCACAGTACACAGGCACACGCACACACTCTTTAACCAAATACTCTAAAATTTTCAAGAAAGAATTCACGTCACCTCTAGAGATTCATCATAAACACGTCTTAGTTTACCAGTTGCAAACCAAAACACACGTATCCGTCGATCAGGCGACGTAATTGAAAATTGCTTACCATCCGGGCTCACCTGCAGCACAGAACATTATGATTTACTACAACTTTTTCTGTCATACATAAAACATTATGGAAGAAAAATATTGACAAGATCTCCTTAACAATGCAAGCTTCTAAACAATTCAAGGATGTAAAGCTGTAAATAAAAAGGTCAAGACATCCATGATAAGCAAATTTTGTAGAAAAATAAATTGCAGTCATACCTCAATAGAAGAGACAGCAGTTTTACATTTTACAATTTCAAAGAGATCAGTGTCACTTTTCAATCTAAACTTGACCCTGCGAACATGAAACGACACTGTTACACAACAATGGTAGTTAAGAAACCATAGAAATGACTAAAGATCCTGCCTTCAAATAAAAAGAAAAAAGCAAAATCAGTTACAGATGACTATTAATTTTTACTCAGATGAGGAGAAAGATATGAATTAAGAACAACGAAAATATATGTATAACATAAATTCATAAGCAAATTATAAAATGCGGTTTTTTCTTCAAAAAACAACAAAAGCATAACTCAACAAAGCACATACTTGTCCTCTGGGAACTGAAAAGTTCCAGGGCTCCAATACTCAATTATACCCTTTGTGTCAGCTGAAATTACAGTATCAAATACATGGTTGTACTTCATAACTTTCACAGGTCCCAAGTGCATCTGAGGAAAGAATCAGAAGTGTCAAGAAACGACAACATCGTGAAAGATTTTTCCTGGAAACTCATCGATAGTTGATACTTTATGAGGAATTTAACAACCACAATAGTCACTAAGCTGCAAATATACCTCTTTGGAAATGATAGGTTCATTTGTACCAGCTCGTGCATCATATATATGTATATATGATGAGTTCCTATCACTGACAGCGAGCCTGGCTTTGGCATCCCCTTGTTTGTAGACCCACTCAACAGCACCAGGAACAAAGGATACGCGAATCATGACCATCATATCATAGTTGACTACATCGTATATCTTGACAGCATGATCATTAGAAATTGTACAGCAAAGCAGACCATCAGCACTGACCTGCATGGCTGAAGCAAGTCACGGTTGACGACTGCACTAAAAACAAGATTTCCAAACATAACACCAAATAAAAGCAGACCAAAAGAGCTCAATAATATGCTCTCTCCAATAACATCAATTATAAGTGGATAACAAATGGAATTCCTGCAAACCAAAAGTATGCTCATCTAACTCCCAAAAGCTAACAAATTCCCCAACGCCAATACAAAAGAGATATTGACAAACAAAGTGCTCCCAAAATGATTAATAGATTGTGGAGTTTATTAAAGATGCATCAAAGACAATAGTTGAGACTTGAATGAATTACAAAACTACATTTGTAATTTATAATGTCAATCGAGAATCTTCTTGTAGGGA